GGTTGTTTACACGGCAACGAACTTCATCTATGTTTGCTTACAGTCAGAGATGTTTTTGGTGTATATGAAAACAATTTAAAAAGCTTTAGTGCCAACGCTGAGAGAGACGTTTACAACTGATTATAAGAAGGTCTTTATGAACAAGGAAGTGACGATTGGAACTAATCAAGATCGCTCAACACGTAATAACATGTCCGAAGGCAGAAAAGTGATACTAAACACGTCGAATTCCCGTAAAACACTATTTTAAAGTGAATTAATGACAGGCGGCTGAAGTGAATAATCTATGCACATATGATGATAGTACAAGTAAGCAATAACAATGAGAATGACTTAAATTCTTATAATAAATGGAAGAAGGAGAAAAGACAGAAAATACTGTAGAGTTAGCAATGAGAAGTTAGTAATTGAGCTCTTATAATAAACGCTTGACAATGAATGTAAGGGTATCACAAGGTAAGAAGAGAACATAACAGCATTTTTGATTAGTGGAAATGTCGATCGGAGAGACAGAGAAGAAACTAAGAAGCAGAGGAAACAAGAAAAAGCTGTTCGGTCACGACAAAGGCGTCAGGTTTCTTTGCCACAAGTTACCACTCACTGCAGTCCGAAAACAACACTACATAATTTCAAGAGAGATAGGAGAAAAATGGGGATGTCCTTCGGGTATCATATAAGGATATGTGGGGCCATAATCAAAGTATTTCTGGTCAATATTATTAGCAATATGTGTAAATGACCGATATAAGTGAAAAAGCAAAGAGAACGAAAAACAAGATGAAAAAAAAAAACGGGTTATGTAAAACAACAGTGAGGAAAAAGCACCTCGTTCAGTATTATAATGAAACAAACAAACAAAAGAGAGGATTTCCAAATAGAATGCCAACGATTGCATTTTGCTACTGAGGGATATTGAACATAGCTGGCGTATTGAGAACGCTCCTGATAACACTTGAATTGACACCCTTCATCTGCATTTTCTGATATAAAGCGGCGAAGTCAATTTCGTCCGGATCCAGCGATGGGACCATGTTCAAGGGTGTGAGATTCTCCATTGATGCCTTTACGTACCTAAAAAATGAAGCATATACAACCTCTTGTAAGGACATTTATAAAGTGGACCTACTTGAGACAAGCTTGCATGGAAGCGATCATGGCCGGAGCCCCAAATCCATGCGTACACAAGCTAAAGTGCCGAAGATCTGCCTGTACAGATTCGGGCGCTGCAACCTCATTCGAAGAGGAGGAGCTTAGCAAGTCCACGAACTCCTGTAGTATCTGCCTGAATTTGAAGTAATTAGTCAATTTCGTCAAGACGACCCGGATATAAAAGCTCACACAGCATTTATTAGGCACTCCTTGCGTTTTTGTAAGTTTTCATTGTTGGTTCGATGTTGTTCGGTGACATGAGCAGCTAGGCTTGCGGCAGGGAATTCTGTCTCAGTGATAAAAGCGAAGTCTCGAGCTAGATGTGTGGCTTCACCTAGAAAATAGCTGTTTCATTCAGCCACATACGAGAGCGAGAGGCTTTGCTAGAGTGACCTTCAACGAGTGAGGTGAGCAGCGTGACGGTCGCTGACTTGCGGCGACCCACTGGTAGGCTCAAGCCCATCTTGTCCAGCATATCCCTCAGCTCTTTGCCACCATTCTTGGATTTTGCTCTCCTCAAGATCCCTCCAAGGATTGAGGCGTTCAGATTTTCTGGAGGAGACAGTCGTCTCTGGATCTGAAAGCAATGTTACTAGAGCTCACTAAAGGACACTATCGAAACTTTTGACCATACAAGTTACAAGTGTAAGCTGCATGTTTTGTTAATCCTTTATTGTTTGGGGCAGGCGAAACTGCGCAAGCGCCGCCGGATCTGTGGTGTGTTGGTTCTCTTCCCCCCTCTCCGCCCGCTCACACAGTATCGGTATCGATTGATTCGGGTTGTGGTAATAATAGGTAACCCGCCCGGGGGCGGCGCCTCAAGGCCTCCCCCCTGTCTGGCGCTCTCAACCCCGAGAACGCTTTGTTGTTGCGTTTTGCGTTTATAAAACGTTATGCGAAGGCCGCGCACCCATTTTTCATAAGGCCATCGCTAAAGTGGGTGTATTACGACTCATGCAAGTGGCTACCACCGGCGAAAATACTCAACAACCTCTCTGAACACATAGTTCATATAGGGGAGTTGTTGAAGGTTGTGTATAGAAGAGTGACCTAGAGCGAGGCGATTGAGGAATTGAGGGCAGAAATGGACATTTGGTCACTGAGCTACACCTTAGCAAAAAATTTATAACACGATTAGATTGGAGAAGAAGTGAATCCCTTGTAGAAGAATTAAGTTTTGGAGACCATATGGAGTTCACTCACCTCAGCAAGAGTAACCTTGTATTTGCATGTGCTGCTAAGAAGCGATAGTCGGCCGGGAACCGAGCAGAATACGTCATCGAGACAAACAGAACTGGCAGAATTGAGATGCGGGCTGACAGAGCCGGTGCTGGTGGTTTCCTCAGTAGCACACTGCAGCGAGCTACTGTCGGAGTCAGAAAGATCGTCTTCGGTCTCGGCTTCGAAGCGGACCTTCTTGTAGTTGCTAGTGGACTCAATAGAAGCAGCAGTCCGTTTCAGATGGCTCGGTGAGGTGGGAGGTTCGGGAGATTCGGTGAGGGTCGGGCTAAAGGCTCCTTCCTGGGCAACACGTAGAGCAGTGCCGATTCGGTCGATGACGGAACGATCCTTCTGACTAGTAAGTATTAACATGGTGACGAAGAGGAGCGACCAATCGCCGCTGTATGGTACAGGCAGAATGCCGCGAGGCAAGACACTACGCCGCTCACAGGCGAACAGCGCGCGGCCAGACATCGCTCGTTCGGAGAGACGCAGAACGCAAGGTCGTCTCCGGGTCATACCCCGCTCTGCCAGTAATCAGCGGCATTTCCCACTTCATCTACGTGGCACCTAACATGACCAATGAAATGTTCGAAAAATGCTTGCAGCACGTCTCCGCTGCTCTTCTGCGCCTGTTCCTCACGATCTTAGGCTCTTCGGCAATGTGCAGTTGTCTCGGTTTATCAGGACCTTGCAGCAGACACTATCAGACCCTTCTCTTAGTTTTTTACCACTACAAGGGCAAATCTGTAGAAGAGTTCATTGGCAGAGTGTTTTCCTTCCACGTGATCAACACTACGCCCGAGACATGGATAACCCATTCTCCCTGCTTCAGACTCTTCCCGAACTTGGCTTGAGGCTCCTGTGGCTTCTTATGTAGTCAACTATACATCGCAATTTAGGCAAAAAATTTGTTCCTTCATCCAAAAACGCAACACTAAAAGCATAATTTCAAATCGATGTTTCTAGGTAAACATACACACACGAAACGCTAACACGAATCGTGGCTGCGTTGCTGTGTGTCTGCATGGTGGCAGTTTTCGAGTACAACTGCTATCCGGGAACGAGAAAAGCGAGGCAAAGGAGCGCTCCATTATTTGCTCGATCGATTATTGGCCGCGGGCACCTATTATCTGTGCACAGTGCAAACGATCCACTGAGGGTCGCGCTGTATTCCTCGTCGTCACTTGTTCCCTCGACTTCGTCGCCGGCCACGCTCTCTCACAGCCCCGCGGCAACTCGGGTCAAGGCCGGCAGCCAGATTGCGCCCGCCCAATAACCCCCCACCTCGTATGCCTCCTTGTTCGGCGTTTTACTCGACCACAAAAGCGCCCCCTATCCTCTACTCGCCCACGTAACCAATGTCAGGTGCCATCAGAAACAGTGCTACACCTGGTTATGGTGAAAAATGAAGTCAGATAGGGTT